ACGCATTTGAGGCGGCACTTTTGCACCGCGCTGAAGATTTGAAAGACAACTACTGCAGGATCATGCAACCAACAAAAAGTACACACACACGCAAAAAAAAACACTTCGGTGTAATGCTGCACCATTAGGTACACTCATGGTCGCCGCCTTGCCGGCCGGCATGGTTCTGCCAGAACCCTTTCATCGGCATGACTCATGGTGTGCTTCAGCTTTAGGACAGTATATTATTCGGCGCGCGCGTGCGTGTTCATCGCCCCGAGCCTTGCCCCACGCACTGTTGCCATACTGCCGGCTTGCGCGGTTCGATCACCGGGCATTGAACTATAATGACGAGTGCCCGCACAGACACGCCAACTCACTGCCGGGTCGCGGAAGCGCAGGGCCAATGACTCTACAGCACGCAGTCTGCAGCGTTGTACAGGTGACAATGACTTCATTACTCATCACGCGTCATTCGAAAAAAAAAAAAAAGACCTGTGTGCCGCCCTCGCTGTGAGCGGCACCCTTCCAAGTATCGCACTGGCGTGTATATAGTATACGTTCCGAATTGGCCACAGCGTGCGTTTACATCTGTGCATATGCGCGCTGGGTCCGCGCGCGTTTCCATTTCGGGAAACCCGCGCTCCAAACACCGCATGCCTGTGCGCTGCTTCGCTCCGCTGTCGTTGCCGGGTCAACGCATGCCGATCTCTTCGAAGGCGCCGCGTCGTATCGAAAAACCTGCGCAAGGACGGCCAGTAGTTGCGCTTAGACCGGCTCCTCCGCCCACGCGTTCTCTTGATTGATGGTCGTTTTATGAAGCGTCTGCTCTGCGCACCGCGTTCGCTTTTAGGGGGCGAAGCTCCTTATAGCGGCACCCGTTTGTCCCTCGTAGTCGTAGTGTGTAACAATTGTTACATTTTTACCTCCAAGGTGGTGCCGGTGAAAGACTTCTTCTGTGCGTTGTTGAACAATAAAAAATAGTGCTCAATGTACATGCCAATGGCTGCTAATGGGGAATGAGAGACAGGAGCATTCGGCTTTTAGTTAACGTGCACGCTGCGATCACCATTAGCAGCCATTGGCATGTACATTGAGCACTATCTGACAAGAAAGGGTTGCTACGTTATACTCGCTGGGTGTAACCTCCTTAGCTTTAGAAAGGTTTAGCGAGCGTTGAGCCGCAGTGCAATGAATACAGTGAACTAATATATGCCATGAACTCGAGGTGGTTAAAGGTGGGAAGTAGACCCGAAGCGCAAGCTGTAAGAAAGTGTGCGTGTGCCACCTCTCGCCATCATATAGGGAGAATATATCATGAAAAGATGCGAGATGGTGGTACTAGTAGTGTTGAATAGATGGACGAACGGATACATAGACAGATCCATGGATGGACGCATGAACGGACGCAGGGATGGACGCACGAACAGACGCACGCACGGACGTGCGGATGGACGTTCACACAGACGGACGCATGGACGGACGGAAGCAAGAACGAATGGACGGACGAATGCTGCGCCCCACTCTCCATCATTCAGTCCGTGGATAATCTGCCAATTTTTTTTATTTTTACAGCTGATGCTTTTAAAAAGGTGGACGCTGTGGAACCGTGAGATCACACAGGTGAAAATGAAGCTATAGCGTAATGCGCCTATTTTAACGTGCTCGAGTTTACGCTGAGCACACCGTGCATAAGTTTATCACAGAAAACGAATCGAGACGACTCGCACGGCAAAAACGATTTCAAAAGTATACTCTACGGATTAGCCGTGTTTCACGGATGTCAAAAATATGGGTGCACGATAAGAAAAGCAGACTGTCGGCGGGATATGTGGGCATATGATAAGAAAACCAGAATGACGTGTGTATTATCATTGTCCATATATTTTTTATCATTTTGGACGTATTGTAAGCGTCTGTATATACCTGATAATGCGTGAGAATCGAAATTTACGTATTGTTCTGACAGCAACAACTTTTTGCTATCAAATAATACATCACCCAGACGACGTTACTCACCCATGAACTCGTCTGTCCGAACTTCAAAGATAAGCGTTTCTCCCATCCACGTGGAACAAATGTTGGAGACCTGCAGTCATGCTATACTATCGTTTTATGGCCATGCTCAGCCAGTTTATGACGCTCTATTTTGGCTCGCTAGCAAGCCTGTTGTTAGTGCGTTGACGGCGGGAAAGGCTTTCTTTCTGTTACCAGCAGTCCTTGAAGGTAAGCCCGTGTTTTACAGCAGTGAAATGATGTTACTGCGTGTAGCAACGCTAAACAATATTTTACGATTGTATCGCATGCTGGAGAGGCTACATTACTTCCCTTTCCACAGTGCGAGGCAGCAACTCAAACGACCATTTCCTGGTTGACCTCCATTTCTTTCCAATCTGAATAATTTTGACCACTACCCGCCGTGGTGCACTTACTAGTTCACTTCGCTGCTGGCCCAAACGTCGCGGGATCGAATTCCATCCGCAGGAGGCGAAACGTTATAGGCCCACGTTTAAAATAGCTATATATTCAGGTGGACGTCGAAGAGCCCCAGGTGGTTGAAATTTCCGGTTATCACTGTGGCGTCCATGTCGAATCGTAGTTTTAGGGACGTAAACTCTCAAGAGTTATAGTTTTCACAAGAACACGTTTTTTTTTCTATTTTTTTAACGGGGGCTTTTTTCTGCTCTTTCTTCTAAACTGTGTTCAAACCACCCGGGAAGCTTCCTGGCGACTCTTCTGGTTTTGCTCCTTTTCTTACATCATATCGGACTGAAAATCAATCATGGAGTTAAAAAACGCTGTTTTCTTGTTTATTTTTTCCGCTTCTGTCTTTTTTGCTTCTGTTCGTGATCAGAACGGAAGAGCTCTATTGTGCATCGGGGCGTTATCAGAATTTTTTTTTTTCGGGAGAGATATACAGTAGCACTTTATATAGTTTTCGCGTGTGTGTATATATATTGGTCATCATCATCATCAGCCCGATTGCGCCCACTGCTGGACAAAAAAGTCTCTCCCGCGTTCCGCTAGTCAACTCAGTCTGCGTGTACATATTATACATATAAAAAACTAAAAAATAAACTGGCGTGGTTTCGATCCCCCGTGGTATACGCCAGTGTTATGCATAACCAAAGTGCGTACAAGACACTGTCGGGACCACAGTACATAAAAATGCGGAACGCGAAGTCCCTGCATAGCGTATAGCCTTGCGCGTAGTCTGCGGTTAGTAAACCCTGTTCTATCCGTCGTATTGTTTGCGTCTGCACCGATCTGCGCAGCAGGCGTCCATTCCAACTATAGCCCACATTTTTACCCCACTGGCGGTAGGTAGAAGTGGGCATGCGGCTTGCTAACGAGTGTGGCCACCCATGGGTGTCGTTATAGCGCGTTACGAAACCTTCTACAAACGTTCCCGCATCTGCAGCGCCGTGCAAGTCCCCACCGCCAGCGCCAAAGAGGTGGGCCCACCCTCTCGAAAAGAGTATAGAAATGGGCCTACACGTGAACACAAGAGCTCCGAGTGTGTTCCAACTTCTCGGCGGGATTCTCCGAAGACCAGGAAAAGCCTCGGCTCGGTCTGCCACGCCATCGGAAGCAGCTGGAATTGAGGGCACTGACCTCCGATAATTATACGAGACGGGAAGACGAAAAAAAAAAAAAGATCCTAACAAGGAGAACCCACGAGGCTACGAAGAGCATGCCTTCGGCCAATGTTTTCTCGCTTGATTTTTTTTTTTTATTCGTGCGGGGAGTTTAAAGGGTGCTTTGAAGCAAATAGGAGTAATGACGCACACCTCTCGTTCCTTCGTAGAGAAGGTCTCTGCTTCTGGGACCACGTCTGTGACACGCTGGGGCGAGGGAATGAACAAACTACTCGCACTTCATTTTCTTTCTTTCCCTTTCGTTCATTTTCTTTTTCATTCTTTCTTTCTTGCGTAAGTCGAATGCTTACGGTTGTCTCGCGTGTGGAAGGGACAGTTGAAACGTGGCCAACCCATTTCGCCTTTCCAACAAAACCGCGCAGCTCATGCTCTCGTTTGGCTCCGCTGATCTGGCAAGAGCTTTGCGGTTAATGGAGGAGAAAAAAAACAACAAACAAACAAGAACTTATCATAAAGCCCTACTCGCACTTGTGTAAACCATCATCGTCAACCTATTTTATGGCCACTGCAAGACAAAAACCTCTCTTAATTATCGGTAATAGAATATCTCTTGAGCGGGCTGATTTCATTATATGCCTGCCGCTCATAAAACCGTCGTACACATATGCTCGGAATCCACTGATATTTTTGTTTTTTTTTTCTTCGTTTGAACGACAATGGTTGGACTATTTCGTTTCGAATTACAACCGCTACTTAAGAGAACCGAGGACAGCGCCAGAAAGTCTCCGGATTCCACTTATAGTTATCGCACTACTTCATATTCGGGTCGTGCAAGTACTCGGGCGAAGAAGCTTTCAGCAGCTGTTTCACTCAACTCCTGGAAGAACGCTCGATAAATATTGATTTTCGCGCGCCTACAAATAATGCGGATTTGAGTGTATTAACTTCATACGCTAGTGTCTAGCACCGTTCTAGTCGCTAAAAAGCAACTGGTTCTTGCTATCCGTTCAAAGAAGCAGCACTGATCTGTCACTGCGGGGCGGTCTCCTTGTTGCACCTTCGTCGTCTTCTGTTCTCGCGTTCTGTTCTACCGTCATTCCTTCGTGGGTGTAGTAGACCGACGGAAAAGTGCAGCACGAGAAAAAAAATCGAAATCTCTGGAGGGTCTGAAGTCACTCCCGTCCTCTCACAGCGGGGAAAGCTTAGCGGTACTTTCTTATCGTCCGGAACCTGAAACTACGTTTTGTGAGCTACAACTAAATTGGCCGTTGCAGGAGCGCGGCAAAACGCGCCAAGCCAGCTCGAGCGTTGAGCCAGCCGGTCGAGCGGGCGACGAGCGAAGGGACGGAAACACGTCAAGAAGGAGAGTGGAGAGGGCCCTCCTCGCCACCTTTCTTTGTCGTTCATCTGTTGCGCGCGGTGCACCCTGGGATAGAGCAACCTGCCAACCGACGGGATAGTCGTCGTTTCGCTGCGCTCGTTGCTGGTCGGCATCGTTCGCCGCAGTGGTGTGGGTTGTGCGCTGTGTTGTTGGGCCGCGCGTGTGCTTTTGTGCGCGTGCCATTCCTGTGGATTAAACCGCTGCCACCGTTGGAACAGGTGAGCCGTGCCCCCCAGCAGTTTCCCGCCCGAAAGCGCGCGGATCAGCGCGTGTGCAACCGTCCTTTTCGTTTTCCGCCTGTTTTTGGGAGCAAAAACGGGAATTTCGACAGCGCCCGTTCGACGCCGAGCCTGTGCGACCGACCAAGGACGGCTTTTAGCTAAGTGCGTCAAGTCAGTGTGGGAGTCCAGCCTCCGGAGAGCTTTTTCTGCTCGTACGAGTTTGGCGTTGTGTAGATTTTCGTCCTCTTTTTTTTTTGTCTCGTCCACCTAGGCCTAGCCTTCGGGCAGTGTTGTGCGCGCCGCACTCGCGATGCCACAAGTGCGCGTGCTTTGTCGAAAAGGTGACGAATCATATGCGTCTGTAATGGGCGGCCATCTACAAATTCGCGTGCACGGGCCTTTCGACAAGCGATAATTTAGTCGACATAGCGGCAGCTACGTTGTCGCGTTCCGCGTCAGCCGATCCCGGTGAGTGTGTCTAGCATATGCCAACTGCGGTCTGAAAGAGCGACCCGTCGTAGCACGTCGCGTTCGTGGCTTTTGTGTTCAGTCCCGAGCAGCGCTGTCCTTTGTATTGTGTCACCGCCATTTGTCAGTAACCCAAATCTCGAGTTTAAAAAAAGTGTGCCGTTCACGCGATTTCTCTGCACCTCTTGCAGTGGCTTACCGCAGCGTTTAGTACGTGGGGCCATACGATTTCCTGCTCAATCGCCGTTCTAGCCTTCGCGTGGGTTGCTTGGTGTAGCGTTGCTGGCGAGGCAAGTAAGGATACCGCTTCGCGAGTAGATTCAACACATGCTTCTGCGCTGCTCTTTAGTGTTGTTTCATGTCATAAGTATTTTGTACTGTTTGAAATTCTAGGCGTAATTATTTTTTTTGTTCTCTGCCTTCCGTCAAACGGATGTGCGTATGACAGGCAAAACGCCCTTACGCCACATTCTTGACCTTTGGCTTTCCATTTTCGGTCTCTTTATGGTAATCTTCCTGTAACACAAAGAATCGCAGGCCCCGAAATGCGTAGGTTGCGCGGGTGGGCATAGGTAAACCCCGCGTTTGGTACGAAACGTGGGAACTAACTGCCGTTGTCCCGGGCGAAGTAAGCGCGAATGCTTTCCACACGCTGTACGAGTTGCGCACTTCTTTATGTTTGAGCGTTTTTCAGACGTAGTTTGTCACAGCGCGATCTTTCGTCACATCTCCGGAGGCGGCCGAGACGGTTTTATCGAACTTCGGACGCGTACGGTAGTGGCGGCGCTGCGGCAGTAGTTTCTAGAACGTTGGCCGAGTTGGCGTTCTTAGTAAAAGTCGCGTTGAACTTGACGCGAAACAGCTGCTGTCGTTTGCAACGTCACGCGCCCGGGTACTTACCGCTCACTTATTCGTCAATAAATTTTCGCAGCTGCTTATGCCCGCCGCTCCATTAAAATAACGCAGTCGTTTACGGTGCACCCAGTTCATGTAATTCAGACGGGTCGATATCGAGCAGCTGCGTTGTGTGGGAGCCCAGCTGTGCGTTGGCTTAATTATTTTTACTGGACCTTTTTTTTTCAAGGCTAGTCTGCTTTGAACAGTTGCTAGATAATATCCGACACAGCCCTTGCGCGCATCCTTAACAACAGTCCTAGGAACATCGATTGGGGAGACCAGAGAAGACAATGCTGTACATCGCGCATTTTTAAGCATAGTTGCAGGAGCATTGATTGGTTACACATCGAAAGACAATGTTGTTCGAACATCTATCGAAGCGGCATTTTGCGTGAAACGTTCGGATGTATTGACTTGCTGTACACTTGCCCATTGCCTTTTGTTGAAGGCACATAGCTCATTTATTTAACGAGGTATCTTGTATATTGGTTAAATGTTTTCCTGCAATTTCTCGAGGTACTATTGAATTTGATCAAGTGCACAGAAAAAAATATTCATTGTTTGGGTGAGTCGGTCGGTAGTTGTTCATTACGGCTCTTATTGTGCACTTTGATCTGAGTGGTGCTGCATAAACTTCGATCTCTTTTAGACATTGCATGAAAGCTTCATCTCATTCTTCCAGATTCCTTTGATTGTAAGTTCAGTCATTCAGTGCGCTTTCTTTACTTGTACAAGAGTTTGGCATCGCTGCTCAAAAGAAGTGCCCCATTTTAAATCTGTTAGATAGCATACAAATATTTTTTAGCGTTGCTCATTCGAGCATAGATAAATCATCTTGTTCTTCGTGTTTTGTAGCAAGTTTACCGCAGGTTTTTTGTCAACCCAGCAACAAGTAGCACAAGTGTCAACAAATTTGTTGGTCATTTTCACATTGCTTGTGGATCCCATGCTTTGGTGTAATATGTAATTTTCATTTGACTTCTGCTTTACTATTGCATATTCCTCAGCTTGTGCAGGAATTTATAAGAAAACCACTTCTCTCTTGCCAACTTTTGTTGAAATTCTTAAAGGAAGTTCCGCAACCTCTGACACATCATTAAATCATGGTTATTTGGCTGCATTCGCTCAGACTTCCATAACATTTCCAATGTACTGTAGAACAGTTTAATTTATTATATGTTGCTCATATATATGTTTTCCCAAGTTTCTGGTATCTGGTCCCAGCTAAAAATATATGTATTAGAATCCACTTTGTACATGGCGTATATGTTGTGGACAGTCCCTGCACTGGATACGCCGAGGAGGTAGGTCAATAAGTTTGCTGTGGACTGCCCCAAGGCTACCTATGTGCTCGAAACGGGCCTGGTTTTGACAGTTCTGTGACAGAAACTGCAGACTTCCACCCAAAATTCTTAATGCCTCAAAAATTCCTCTGGGGTAAAGCTGTGTGTTCCAAGTCTCTATTATGTGGCGGCACTTTTTCCAGCTGCTGTAAGTTTTCTTTTCTTTCTCACAGTTTCTGTAGAAAACTTGAGAGGCGTTCTGCAATAGTTGATGTTATTTCCTGCTCTAGTTCTGATTTTTTCGGATACCAAAATATGCAAAATGGCCACTAGTGCACCGCTAGTTCAGCCACGGAAACGTCACAATCTGTTGCATGAGTGCGTGACGAGAAGCTCGTGCAATGCGATGTCAGGGTACAGTAGGAACTGAAACTAACTTTAAAAAATAGCCGCTTATAATTTAGCATGTTGTACTAGCTTTTCTTAAAGTGCACTTATACTGAAGCAAAACGGCTAGCCGGCTTAGTTGTAATGAATTCATTCAGTGCTTGTCTGTGTGTCTCCTTTCTTCGTCCCCGTTTGTTTCACGCAAAGTGCTTCCATGCAGTCATGCTGAGGAATATATTTTATAGGCTCTTGAGGAGCTGGCCGTTCATTTTACACGAATTGACTACTAAACATTTTTTGCATCCTTACCCTTCAACATGAAGCTTTTTGTGACTGAGGAACGTGTCACTGACAGATACGTCACATTCAAGTGGTTATAGTTCAAAGTGTACTACTAGATTTGAAAGCATCTTTATAAACATTTTTTTTGCTCGGCATACAATGTTAATGCGGTCCACACACACCAGAGCGAGAAAACACGTAGAAATTAATTTAAAAGTTCTCGCTCAGCATTTGCAAGCCAGGCCTACCGCAGTGGCCCTGAAACTGTGGCGCATGAGCGGGGATTCAAAGAATTTAATAGTGGAACAGAACTGTATGCGAGGTACTCTGGGCAACTCGCCGCTCGAAGCAGCACCTTCCGTCTTGCACCAGCAGTGCATTTTGTCTTCCAATCGCGGATGTAGAGGCGTTGCTTCATGCTAGAGTGAAGTGCTTGGTCCTTCAACTGCTGCAACTCTGCCATTAGAATTCAACGACAGTTTCCAAACTCTGCTGCAGAAATTGCACTACTCGTTTACATCACAACATGCGAGTGACAGCATATGACACATGCTGCTGAGAATGTCGTGAGTTGTCTCCGAGTGTTCACATGCCATTTTGAAACTACCTCTTTAAAATTGAAACTTTTTTTTACTTTTTTTGGGTAGCTGTCTGAAAATATATCCTACATTGTGTTTTGAGGGAGCATGATAGTTTTTCTGGGGTTCTCTACAGCTGTATTTTTATTTAGTCACAGTATAAAAATTTCTATAATTCGTGTCTGTAGTCCTGTATGTACTGTTTTGTTCAATAAGCATCTATACTCCATTTTGTACTTGGCATACAAGACTCCACATTTTGGAAAACGTTCGCACTTCTGAAGGATCTTTGGAGCACTCGTCAATAATCGTCCATCTTGCGTGTATTTCCTTGCTCTGATGCCAAATACCTTGTCTTAGCCTGTAGGCTGCAGGTGTTGCACAGTATTCTCAGCAGGAATGTAGCAAGTGCAGTGCTTTAAAGAACGGCAACTCGGGCAAGCCTGATGCACCTAAAGTTCAGTAATCAAAAGCAAGCTGCTTGGTTGATCATGTTCATTATAGGCTGTGCATGAAGTGTGGCAGAGTTAGGCTTCTAAGGAAAAAAACCTACAAAGGAAGATTAAAATTAGGCTATAGAATAGATTTGTGCAACTCCTGGGTAAGGAATAGGAACATATTTTTTTGGCGCAAATGCGGTTGTTGCAAGAATTCTTGCCATGGATGGCCAGTAATTAAGCGAGATTCATATCTCAGACAGAATGACTTTCCGAGCTTGATTTTCTGTTACTTATGACAGTCTTTTTCATGACTTGGGTGACATCTTGAAGAAACAATTAGTACGGAACATTTAGTATGAATCTTTCGCTGTCTGTTGTCAGGCCCTGTTCAACAATGCAGCATGGCTGCTGCAGTCTGATGTCGGGCACTGCTGGACAAGCTCTTTCGTGGTTGATTCGAGTGTGTTGCATCACTTTGCTATGTCCAATCTTCAAAAGTTAAGTAAGCGTCCTTTTCTTGAGCCTTTTCAAGTTACTGATTGTAAAGTGAGTAAAAGTTTCAGACTGCAAAGGGTTAATGCTAGACTATTCAATATTCATCCCTCTGATGGATAGCTTCACACGACTGCCCAGAACCAAGCCCGTGCAATTTGTGTGCTCTCGCTCGCATATCTAACAATGGCGGCAGATCTGTGGCCTTGAAGACCAGCAGATCACCATCGCATTTACCAGTCAGATTCGCCATTTCACTCTCTTCTTTGTATAGTGTCGGTGTGATCACGCAGTATTCAAGAGCTCAGTTGCCTGTGAAACATGCTTTCTAAAGTTCACTAAGTGATATGTGACCTAAAGACATTTTAGCAATTCTGTTCTTTGTGCAGGTTGAGGCAGCAGGTGGTGTAGTTCCTCCTCTTCTGTTCCACCTCAAGGGTGCACGGCTGAGACATGGTGGACTACTACTCGGTCCTTCTAGTTGCCAGGACTGCCACCACAGATGACATCAAGAAGGCGTAAGTGTGACTAACCTGTCCTATTGGCTGCTTGTTAGTGCATCTCAATATCACGTGGTTTTTTATGGAGGGAATTTTCAATGCATTTTTTATTAATGCTTCTTGCTGTGGTAGTTCAATAGGCACCACTGAGCTCAATCTGCATTTTCATTTTCCTGTGCTGCCCTTAGCCGATTTGGTAGTGCCTGCAGAGACAAGTGGTATTGCCAGAACAAAAAGCCTCCAATATTATGAGGCCTCGCACGACTTTACTGCTAGGTGAAGGGCGCATGCATCGTGGCATATTTGCTTACCTCGCACCACGCGGCTCTGACTTTAATGACACGTCGACGAAGCCTTGCTCAGTCATTGGCTGCGCAAGCATAATGTAATTGTTGACATTCTGCTGTGTCGCCAAAGTGAGTGTAATTGGGATAAACGGCTGCGACTGCCTCCTTTCGCGAACAAGTAGGTTGGAAAGGCCACAGGGTGCCTACCAAACTGGAAAAGTCGGGGAACTGGGACCCTACTGGAAAAGTCCGGGAATTTCTGAAAAATCTGGCCTGGTCATTGAAACTGACTGTAGCCTGTGCAACCGTCACAAAAAAAAAGGCCCCGTATCTGCTTGTTTCACTGCAAAGGTTGTCGAAAGACGGTAGTCTTGCATCTGGAGAAACTGAACAAAACATTTTTTTTTGCTGTTCTGCGCGAGAATATCGGTGAATTGTGTTCTGGAGGCGATGCGTTAGAGAGTCTCGATCCGTGCAGCGAAGGCAAACGAGCGCATCATAAGCACCAGAAGTACATTGTTGGAAGCGTCCCATCACTCCTGTTTAACATACCTGTTTAACACTTGTGCTCGTATTTCAGGTGCAGGCATGATGCAAGCTGTCCTTTGGCCAGAACACGCACACTTGACCAGTCAGTTCGGTGGCCTGTAGAATCTACATGTTTAGCGAGGGCATATGAGTTCACATAGTTTCTTGACATCATGTTCGTGTTTTTTTAACAGCGAGGAATATAAACTTTGTAGATGGTCAATTCTCGGTGATAATGAGGAAAGGGTTTCAAATCTTTCCTTGAAATCGGTGGTCTCACCGATGTACTGGTTGTCACAATTGTGACAGCCTAAAGTAAAAAATTAGGGGTGTGCGAATATTCGAAAGTTTCGATTATTCGTCGAATATTAAATTCGCACTATTCGTATTCGATTCGAAAAAAGTGTATTCGAAAATTTCGAATCACTTTGAATATTCGACAATATCGAATATTTGATTGGATTATCATGCGGAAAATAACTCTTCTTTAATATTTCCGCTGGGTTCAGAGATATTAAAACGTTGCCCAGAGGGGCGATAAGCGTCGGAACTGCACGGAGGCACTATGTCGGCCAGCAACGTTCAACAATCAGCAGCAAAGTTGACGTTCGTGTAAACGTAATGCACGCTTTTTGTATGCCGCCATAACGTGCTGCACTACCACACTATACGGGACCTCTTGTGCAGGAACGAAGCTTAACCGTTGCCGCGTTGTCTCATCAAAACATCGCTTGATAACGCACGACCGTGCACGCGCGTGCTATAGCAGAAACTTCGTCACCGTCGGCAAACGTTTCCGTTAAAAAACATAATAAGTGACAAAAAGAATTCTAGTGGTAATTTGTACCATGGCGTTGCATTTATTTCCTTTTTCGAGGAAGTTCCGCACGTGAGCAGTCGCACAGTTATACAACGTGCTCGAAAGCGGTTAGTCCCAACTCGGGATTTTATTGCTAAGTTATGTCGTATTCCCGGCAAGTATGCGTTAAATAACTTGGACTGCATTCTAAACATATTGAATATATGAAACGGTAATCATGTGCCGACCTTTCAGTTTTATATATCTCTATATGCATATAAATATTTTTCGTGCTGGCCACCAGAGCGCATGAGTAGTGGTAGTGCGCCATGTAGTGCACAGTGCTACGTTAGTAGGGTCAGCGGCGTTGGCTAGTGCTGTCAGCCGCTACAATCAGTTCTGCTAGCTTGTGTGCGGTGCACATGGTACGGTTTTGGTTTTGACGCGAGCCTTTGTAACCTGTGATGGACTCTCGTCGTTAATAAGTGCCATGGCAGATAGCTGAGGTTACGACTCGCCTGCGAAACGGAGGAACAATCAAGACACGGCGCCGAAACGAAGGGAAAGAAGCGCTATCTGGAAGCACTTTGTGAAGACATCGTCGTCGTTGGCGCAGTGCAAGACATGCGGCGCAACAGTTAAAACGCCAATGGGTGCGACTAGTCCTCTTGTTAACCATCTAAAACAGCACCCAACCGCGATGAAGGAGTACCGGATGACTGCAGCACGTGCGCCAGAGAAAGACCAGTCAATGATATTTGATTTTGTGCACCGTACTGACCCTTTGTCGGAAAAGAAAACTCAAGCACTCAATGCCAAGGTGGCTGCCATGATAGCGCTTGATTTGCAACCATATAGTTTTGTTGAAGACCGCAGATTTAAGGAACTCATGGCAGAGGCTGTGCCTAACTATCGCCTACCGTTGCGCACCACGCTTTCACGTACCCTTGTTCCGCGCTTGTTTGATGACACACGGAAGAAAGTGAAGGACGAGCTCAGCAGTGCTTTTGAAGGGGAAACATCTGCAGTCACCTTTCCCAGCGACATGTGGACATCACGCGCCAACGAGAGTTATGTGAGCTTCCCTTGCCACCTTCTCACTCCAAGTTTTAGGATGAAGCGGTTCACGCTTAACACTCGGCACATGGAACTTGTTAGCCACTCCGCCGAAAACATTGCGCAAATGCTTGTCGAGATGTGCGCGGAATGGGAAATACCGGATGGCTGCCGCAAATAATCGTCACAGATAATGGACGCAACATCCGTGTTGCCGTCAGAAGGCTCCCCTGGACTGAGCGTGCGTGTTTCGCCCACACCCTACAGCTAGCAATTCGCGATGCAATCTCCAACACACCGTCAATTGACCGTCTGTGCAAGAAAGCGAGGCACGTCGTGGGCCACTATCAGCACAGCTCGTCTGCGCAAAAGAGATTAGATGAGTACCAGAAAAAGATGGGCAAGGATCCACTTCGTCTGGTGCAAGATGTAGGTACGAGGTGGAACAGTCAATACCTAATGCTGTCCCGCCTCTTGGACTTGAAGGAAGCTGTCTCTGTTGAGCTGGCAATGTCAAGTAGCAGCATTGATGGTCTCTGCTCAGCAGAATGGAAAGAGGCTCTTGAATATCTGGACGCACTGAAGCCCTTATATGATGCACTGTGATAACTAGTGCAGACAAATACCCATCACTTTCCACTCAGATACCAATTATTTTGGTATGCTAAGTTGCCTCAGCAACTTTAGCGGCACAACAGGCTTTCATAAGGAACTGGCAAAGCCTCTCAATACCACATTCCCCTTATATACCGAGGACAAAAAAGCATGCTTGGCTATGTTTTTGGACCCACGCTTCAAGTCAATGGTATTTAGAAACAACAAACAAAAGTTGGTGTGGCTAAAGATCTGGTGCTTCAGGATGTTGCCCTATGCCCTGCTGTGGAAGTCGTGCAGCCAGCAGCAAAAGTGCAGGAGCCACAACAGTGTGTGCAGCCATCCTCTGATGTTTGGAGTGCATTTGATAATCTTGCAAATGGTCAAGTAGCAAGTACACCACTGTCTACTTCAGAATGGGAAATTAAAGCGTATTCTGAAGAAGTCCTACTGAAGAAAGACCCATGTGACTGGTGGCGGAGTGTGGGCACCTTCAGATACCCCAGTCTGGCAAAGCTTTGCCCCAAGTACTTGCCCATACCAGTCAATTCAGTTCCAAGCGAGCGTGCCTTTTCAGTGGCAAGGGAGATTGTCTCTGTTCGGAGGGAAGCAGGCGCCTTCTGCCTGATCATGTGGAGCAACTCATATTCCTCCATGATAACATGTAGTCATTATGTTTCATGATAACAGCTAGTCATTACTTGCATTGTGTTCCAAATAACAGTGTATGTTGTGTTAACAGACAGGCTGTTGTGTATTTTTTTAGATAAATACATCTTAAATTATTGTTACCGTAGAGGCATTTGTCCTTTGATATTCGATATTCGAACATGAATATTCGATTCGTATTCAAAAAATTTCATATTCGCACACCCCTATAAAAAATACAGTGGAAATTTTTGCTTAGCAACTTGTCCTTCACATCGTCTAAAGCGTTCCCTAGCTTACATACAATATGTTGATGTCTGTTGCTTCTGTATACCACGCAAAATATCTGACTTTCCAACCACAACATAATTCACGTCATTAAATTTGTGCATGTTTGTCTGGACCATGATTTGGCTTCGCTTGAAGCCAGAACTGCCATTAGCAGAGGTTTGCCGGACTATGTCATGTCTTCTACTATTATTACTATTATTACTATCATCATTATTTTTGGTGATGCTACGGCAAACATCCTCAGCTATGCACTTATTGCTGGTAGCTCGTGTTTCAAGGGTAGAGTGGGGTGACTTCATCTAAATTTCTCATTTCATTTTCTTGAGATGTTATTAAATCTGTGATTACTTGTAGCCTTATATTCATAGAAGAGTACTCAAATGAAAGTACCCGCCTGCATCTGTGATAAATCTATGGGATTGAGGGAGTTTTTGCACCCTGACAAATTCCTACTTGCCAGCAGATGTTCAAACATCTTTGCTTTGAACGCTACCACTAGCTTTCATAGCAGGCATATGAGGAGTTTGTCGAACTCGAAGCATCAGAGCCCAGAGAAATAAAACATCAACATGCATGTGCTCGTCGTGGAAAAAAAAAAGAGAATGAAAGAAAATTATGTAGTAAGGCTCCGTTCTTTCAACATTGTTAGTCATTGTTCATTGCAAAGTGTACAGAATACGCGAGTAGTGTTTTTTCCCCCTGGAAAGTAAGTACAAAAGGTGAGCAATTTAGGTGAGGATCCGAATCAATAAATACAGCAATCCATGTCGCATTTGATCTAATCCACATCCTAAATAGTCAAGTCGGCAAATACAGGCTAACCTAGTCCAATCAGCATTGAGCGGCCTCGGCTGTAACCATTATAGTGAACTAGAAGATATTCTAGTGGCGGAACCGACTGCGCTTTGGCGTCCTCTTTATACATAGATGTCACGAGACGGTACCGTTTCTACGTTTTCTAGCAGCTTTGGTTGCATTGTAGGACTGTCATGGGCTCTTTTAATCTTTTAGCTGCAGTTAATTTTAAGTCATGTGCTTGCTTTCTGGTTCTTCCAAACATTAAACAGCCAACTTGCTTACTCTCTCACTTGGAGATTTCATTTTGGCCAGATATACATATTTTTTTCTGTTTACTGCACGTGCTCAGAATATTCTGATTACTTGTGTTACATTTATTTACCGTAATTACTCGAATCTAACGCGCACCTTTTTTCCGGTTAAGCAAGTTCATAAATCGCATGCGTTAGAATCAAGTACAAAAAAAAAAATGAATACGGTCATTCTATTGCCATCGGCATTCCAAAATGGCCGCCCCCTACGTGCGTCGGCATGGCTTGTCGGCCATTTCTGCCTATGTTTCCAATGTGCGGCACTTCGTACGTGTGCTGAGGAGTTCGTCATCTTGGTGTGCATTAGCATCGACGGCATGGAAGGGCTGACTCCAAAAACTCTACGAGTGCACCACTATGCCTCTTTTAAAAGAAAAGTCATCGCGTGTGCCGAAACGGACGTAAATCAATTTGCATCGCGGTCGTTCGGAGTTAAAAAACGTTATAAAACGTGCGTGCGAGACTGGCGGAAACAAAAGCAGAATATTGTCGACAGCAAAGATTCACGCAAAGGCTCCAGTGAACCACAGCAGGGTGGGTCGGTTTCCGCAAATTGAAGAGCTGCTCGGCGAGTATGTGATCGAGCAGTGAGCGGCACAGTGGCCCATGACGACAGAACTGCTCCAAGTGCAGGCTTTCTAAGTTAGCCTTTGAAAAAGGGCTAATGCTGAGCCAGTTTAAAGCGAGCAGGTGCTGGCTAACTAACTTCATGAAAAGGAAAGGCTTTTCCCTCTGAAGGCGAACGGGCGTATGCCAAAAGTTGCCGGAGAAGTACGAAGAAAAGCTTCGGTTTTCAGAGGTTCGTCCTTAACTTGCGGCACAACGGCGGCTCCCTGCTTGGGCAAATTGGAAATGCCGGTCAGACGCCTCTTTACTTCGACATGCCTGGCACCACAACCGTCGAGAAGAAGGGGGCGAAGCAAGTTCGCGTGCTGACATCGGGCCACGGTAAAACTAGAGTGACGGCAATGCTCCGTTGCACATCAGATAAGCACAAGCTTCTCCCGTACCTCATATTTAAACGCAAGACGCTCCTGAAAGGAGTTTTTTTCCTGAGTGGTGTGATCGTGTGGGCTAACGAGAAAAATGGGTGAGCGTTGCAATCGATGTTTTACTTTTTTTTTTTTCCGTCGTGGAAACCGGGTACGCGTTACAATCGAGGGCGCAGTAAAATTGAGTAAATACGGTACCTATTTTATAGGAGTGCCTGTTTTTTTTTTTAATCACTCGAGGGTCTGTTTCGAGTGCACAGAGTTTTCCAACCAGCAGACTTAAGGGTCAGGGAATTGTGATAAAGCAAACTTGTAGACACCCGGAGGCCAGCAAGAAACATAAACCAGTTGAAGTAAGTTGTTCTACACTTTGTAACTTTCTTGTTACAGCACTGGTTTGCAAAATTTTTGCAGTAGCATGTTCGCATCGTACAAATGCGTTCTCTTTCCAAGACTTCGGACCATGAATTTGTTTACTGGTCCTCTCAATGTTTGCACAAGCATACCATGATTTATTGTCAAGTTCCATGCCCACGGGCTGTGTAAGTGCAGTGTTTCTCTCGTATAATTAATTATACCTTTGATCTGGGATTCTTCTGCTAGCAGTTTCAACCCACTAGAAAGTTCCCCACATCTAAAATGCTGCATTTCTGCCTGTTCATTAAGATGTGCGTATCTCTGAAGCAAGAAACATATCCACATGTTGGAACAAACCATAAGTTGCCATATCCATGTGTAAAGATATGCACTTACATGTGCCACCTGCTTTTTCTAACATTAACAGCATTTTCCTTGGCACACTCGTTGGGAAAGTGACATGTTTGTCCGATAATCTTTGGATGCACATTTAGGAAAGCTCGTGGGTTACTCGCGTGAGAAATGCTACGAACACGAAAGAAATTTCAGATAAGGCACATATTGTGCACCTATACCATGGATGCTAATTTTATAATCTCAAAAACTATCCTATTAGCATTATCTTCTTAAAACGGCCTGAATTTATCCAAAGCTCTCCACTGTACCTTGTCTTACCACTTTGCTGTCCTGGAATATTAAACTAGCTGATTAAACAAGATCTCACTTCTTTACTAGATTTGGGGTGGTTCTTTCAACAGCCATTATACATACAGATTTTCTGTGTTATGTTCGACGTGTATTGGTGAAACCTTGGTGATTGTTATAGTATGGTAGCCATATTTTTTATTTTAATGTAACTCCCGCTCGAAACCTAAATGTGTGGCTATGTTGTCCAATCATGTTAACTTGAGTTCAAGCCAGTGCTCTCTGGTTCATGTATGGATGGCTACAGCTGCAGCTGAACCTGTTCTTTTACATTCTGTGCAATTTCTATGCTTATGCCATGGCAAAATGTGATGTCTTGCCTGCAGGTACAGAAAGTTGGCGTTAAAGTGGCATCCTGACAAAAATCCAGACAAGAAGGAAGAAGCTGAACGACGATTCAAGGAAATCTCTGAGGCCTATGAAGTTCTTTCCGACGGTCAGTGTCCCAGTAGTTAAGCTCGGTGTCTTGTGATACGGTGCCTAGTCTCTCGATTTTATTTTTTTATTGCATTTCACCGTTTCGTATAAGAGGAGGCTGGATATTTCGAGGTTGCTCTTTTCATTTGTGCATTGTTGTATGCACGATGGTTTATGTTGGCATCAACTTTGTTTAATGTTATTGTTTGTTTTGCGAAATAGTGGTGCCTATTTTTTTATTAATGTTACTTCTTCATTTTGCAGTCGCAAGTTAAAGGAGCACTAAAAACACTTGAATTCTATCAGTGAATTACACCTATAGAAGGAAAGCCAAACTTGCAATTAAAGCAGCTGTGGCAAACTAGAAAATGCAAACTGCAATAAGAGTGAAATGTGGGTGGCGCCACCACTTTTATTTGCCATGGCAGCCCACTGGGTTGTCTAAAATTTAGGCACCTAGTACTTATGTGCAGTTGATTTTGTAGCTGCAAGGATGGACCATATTTTATGCTATGAGAAAGCAGTATTATTAAACATTAATCGGACAAAATGTATTAGAACTTTGAAAATCAAATGTCTGTGATTGCTGCCTTCTGGTGGAGGCAGAATATTTAAAGTCGATGTGCTTAGATCTTGATGCTTGTTAAAGAAACCCTAGAAGGTTAAAATTTCTGGAGTTCTCAAATATGGCATCCTTTATAATAAGGTTGTGGTTTTAAGACTTATAACCCCAATGAATATAATAATTTTCGTAATCAATGATGTTACTCATATAACTGACATGTGTTTAAGTTTAAAAAATCTATTGGAAGTGTCATTTTTCTTCAAGTAATCAGCTTTCAAAATTAATAAAGCTGCAATTAAAAAATATTGAGGGACTCTGAAGCTTCGCCTTCAGGAGTTGAATGCAACAGCGACATCCTGTTCGTAGTGCACACTTGAAACACCTAATGTATGAAACATTTTCGAATTTACTATGCACCCACTTTGTGGCCTTAAGGAAATAGGCGCAGTAGCGCGTGGGCCTTTTGTAGTGCTACCGGCTTTTAACGACAGAGCCGTTATGATAATCACATATTCTGACCCCTGTTGGCAATGGACGCTTCACCACACATCATTACTGCAATATTTAGTTTGGATTGGGAAGCATATATGTACAGTATGCATGTGTTTCTGAAGCATGAAAGCTACTTTCGCCGCATTTCCGATAGGAGGAAGTTCTTTTCACTGTTTTTACAAGCACAGGCGTGGCTGTTGGTAGAACATTCGCTTGCCACGCAAATGACCTGGGTTCTATTCCCATTTGGACCCCAACAACCTCGGTTCGGTCCCCACTCTGCTCCAGGGTTTTCTCATTTATTTTATTTGCATCGCTCTCAGTTTTTGGGTCACCTAAATGAGTTTGAGATTTACTATTGCACAGGAGTGTGTGCTTGGGTTCATTGCTGCAAATCTTGTAAACGGTGCACAAAAGGTTGAAGCAGCTACGTACCTATTTGAGCTGGGCGGGATAGAGGCTGAAATGGTACTTTTTGGTGTGATTTTGCACGTATCTGCAATATGGGCATGCACATGCCAATAGTGCTAGTTTGTTTACAAGATTGCTGCATTACATTGTTTGATTTCATAGCTTATTGATTGCAGAATACCTTATTTCAGAGGTGCGTAATTACGATGTCTGTACACTGAATTTGTGTGTTCATACTGCCCTAGTGCTTTCAGTAACAGCCCTGGAATGAGTGTATGATGTCCTACGGCCCCAGAGAATATTCTAGCCCCTGATTTCATATTACGTAGCTTTGTGTCTGTTACTTGCGATGATGCACAAACTAGATGCACAGCCTGCAGAATTTCGGCAGACGTTCAGCACAAAGCTAATCTTTGGGAGTTTACTGTAATGGGACTTTGTTACATTGTTTTTTTTTTTTTTTTGGTCGCACCAGAAAAGAAACGCAAAGTGTATGACCGGTATGGCAAGGAGGGCCTGAACGGCACAGCAGGTGGCACACGGTCAGGTGCCCGCCACAACCATCATCACTTCAATGGGTGCCCGGGTGGTGTCGGCGGATTCTTCGACGATGGGTTTGCCGCACCATTCTTCAGCTTCACCTTCCGGGACCCGGAGGAAGTGTTCCGGGAGTTTTTTGGCACAGACTCATTCCACATGTTCTTTGACAACCCCTACACCGCTGCAAACACGGGTCGCCAGCAGCAGCATCTTCACAATCAAGCTAGGCACGGACACTGTAAGTATGATTGCGCTGCTCCTGTCTGGGAGGTTTTGAAAATGTGTATTTCAGTTCGGCAATTCTTGTGCAGTGTCACCTGTATTGTCTCGAATGCACTATTCAATGTCTGATGGCCTGCAGATCAACTGCACATTGCATGTACATCATGGTTGAGTGAAAGTTTGGGAAGAATATTGTGTCTTCCCACTTTACTCAAATTACACGAGAAGACCATTTTTAGTATTTGAATCACATACAGTAAACATTTGACATAAATATTCCCCCATTTTACTTGGACTTGGTTACCAGGAAGCAATGAAACTAATGCCTGTTTCGACAGTTTGTTTCTGTGGTACTGGTGAGTGCTCATTCTGGCAGTTTTTGAAATAAAACAAATGATGCTAGCTGTGAAAGTGCTCCCTCACTTAAAAATTTTAGTAAAAACAGAGCGGTAGTAGCTGCTGGTACTTATCAAGCTGTTAGAATAAGCACTTGGGTCACTGGTAGCAGTATCATGTTTACCCTGCAAATATTATTAGACACAATGTCCCCCCTCTCCACCCTTCAAAAAACAAAAACAAAAGGCATATCAGTAAAAGTTCCATCACGCATAGAGCATGAGCATTATGGTAAAATAGTAAAAGGTAGTCCTATGATCAAATTTCCAGCAGAGCTTTTGAGAGCTCTAGTTACTGGCTTTGCCTGCACTGCAGAGTTACACTGCTTTAAATTTAGTGTTCTCTTTTTTTTAACATTTATCTACACAAGATCTCTTTACTATAGTAGGTTATTTGGCTATATAGCTCCACCATAGCTGCAAAAGTTTGTCTGTCGGAGTTGTTCTAGCATGCGAAACAGAATATAGCAGTCTGTTTTCCAGTAATTGCCGAGGCATGGCCACATACTCTGTTGTGATAGGGTGGAAGAGCAATCTTTTTTTTTTTTGTAATTTATTTCACAAAGTATCTTTCTGCTTCAGCTTTAATACTTAAGCAAGATATGTTCTGTTAAAGTAGTGCTCTTTAATTATTCACATGGCACTCTTCTTTCTCATTACGGTATTGCTATTTGAGATTAGCCTATTCAGCATGGCATCCCAGTGCTTATTTCTTACATGTGGTATAGAATGGTGCTTTTGCTGCTGCACGCACCTCGGGTAAGGCAAGCAATTTTTGCAACAAAAACAGTTGGTTGGCTTATCTGCCACTCTATGTTCTTGTCCATATTCATAGCAACAGGTTCTTCAAATGGCCTAGGGTTGGTTACATTCATTGGCATTCCTAAGCTCCTTCATTGCACTTTGACATTTACAGAATGCTAAACAGTTGGATCTTTTGTGCACAGTGCTGCAAGGTTGAAGGCATTCTCTTCATTTGTCTGCATTTGGATCTCCATAATCTTTATATGTTCGTGTCATGTTTCCTTTTGCGACTGCTGCCACACGTCACTTTTATGTTACATTCATTATTGGTGTAGCCTTGGATGGAATGAAGAGCTTGCTGCTTCAAAGTTTTAATTGGTGCATTGCATGTTAAATCGGGGGGTGGAGGGGAGAACACGGTTTTCATTTATTTTTAATCCTGCTGTCGCAATGTAATCGACTTATTCTGCTTATCTTGTCCTTGCCACTGACACTTTAGTTGCTAGGGCAAAGTTGGGCAGGCAAATGTAAAAGAAATAACCTTTTCAATCCTCATTTGCTATTACCACTGCTAAAGGCTGCCACTATTGGTATTCATTATGGCTGCTGGGACAAAGAGAGTCTGTTGCTTAGAGACAACTTGGCCAGTACGCCTCTGTGGGGCTGAAACTTTACGAAGCCGCCAAAAAATTTGTTCTTAGTTTTTCCACGTCAACAAGCTGCACTGAAAGGTGATAGAACTGGGTGGACAATTTCATAATTATTATTATTTCCACATTAAAGTAGGTTCTAGGTGCCTATTCTTCAAGGTTCACAAATTACTTAGAGATATAGTTGAATGTACTTTAGTGGGGGTATCTGGCTCGTATTACAAACGTTTCTCTCCACTCGGTATTTGCCTTGACTCAGGGATGTTGACAGTGGCATTTGCCTCCGTTAAGAGTACATTGTCTACTTTTTGACACTGCACAGTAAGCTTTGGAGGGATAGCACCTTCATTCGGGAGGCAGTGCTGTCCTCGGCTCTTTGTAGTAAATGAAAGAAAATGGTTGTTTTTTCGTTTTATCCCTCCCCCTCCCTCGCTGCTGTAGAAAGAATTTATGTTGAAAATTTGGAAACTTGACCATTGTTTTACCTTTTTCATAATGCTTCATTGTTTTTGTCAACTTGCTATAATACCATAAGAAAAATGTTGTGTTAAACAAGTGAGTTAGCAGCTTTTTTCAGCCTCTTTTGAGTTGGCTAGACTAATTAAAGCTTCGATAAGTGGTAAGAACGAATGACTATTTGCATGGCTGCATTTCTGACATGACATTAGCGTAAGGTGATGGCAGCCTTTTAATTATTGATTGATTTGTGGGGTTTAACGTCCCAAAACCACCATATGATTATGAGAGACGCAGCCTTTTAATTAATATTATGGAACATGATAGATAAGCATTTGTCAAGTCTCAACAGGTGAGGTGCCTTTGTTGCTTTTTGAGCTTTGCATAACGGCTTTTTTTTTTTTCTTTTTGTCTGCTGTGTCAAGCTGTGTGACAGCTAGAGTTGCCAGATGCTACCACGCTAACAAGCAAATAGTCATCAAAAGAAACCCCCCTCTTGCTCCCGCCAAAAAAAAAAAAAACGCGACTTTTTTGAAGAAGCTCGACAGAAGCGGAAATTTAATATTTTCCATCCTTAAAACTACTTCTAATTATAAGAAAAAAACTGTCACACAATTATGAAGGGAGTTAAAAAACATGATGCTATTTTGTATGGTGAAAATATACGCAACCGTAAATTAGAGCACATTTACTTTTTATCATTGTGTGCAGGGTAGTCTTCATTTGGTCTAATCCACCAGTGCGTTATAACTATACTTGTCGATTCCCCTGCGCAAGTCTGCCTTGAACATCTGACCTGCAGCGTTATCGACAAACACGCTGTTAGTGAACGACCAATGTACCACTGAACGTTGCCACTAAACTAACTGTATTTGCTGGAAAAATGCAAATAAGCCTCCCAAAATGTGACAAGAGACCGGAAAAATTTTACGAGTGACTTGGCAAACACACAAGAAAAGTTCGAATCCATTTAATATAAGTACTGGAAACTCTTCTGAAAGCATTCCGTGTGTTGAACTTTCTGCTTTAATTATTAAAGTTCATTCCATCCTTGCATTTGGTGGCAATACGCTGCAGTTATGATAACCTGGCAATACACTTATGTTATTATAAGCAGAGCAACTCTTTATGAAGTGGTAGAGAACGTCATTAAACCAAATTGCATATGAGTTTAGTATGGTCTTAGCTAATTGTTATTTCATTATCTGTACTATAAAATTCAGAAGTGTGTCCTAAAAGCTGTAAACTGCAAATCGCATCATTGAATAGTCAACACCTTGCACAGTAAATGAGTATGTATACCAATACCTTTGTGACATTTATAGTTTTTCTTGTTTTTTACATTTGTGAGTTTACTTTATAACTGTCTGAGATTGTGGTGTGTACAAATTTTCCATGCGATGGCTGAAATTATGCCAGCCAAATTGTTTGCCATATAGTCAATCAACACTCCTAAAGGGATGTGTTTCTCTTAGCAAATGCAAATTTTAGTAATTAGGATAAAAATGGCAAATGCCTTTACTTCAATGGACATTTTGCAAAAACTCTGCAAGTTTTCTGTTAAGCAATGCCCGGCTGCTTTTCTATATTCTTCTGGATCTTCTTGTCCTGGATCGATAATTTCAAGGGCATCACTTCAGGCAGCGCTGAATGGCTAAGTGAAACTGATCATATAGAAGTGAAAGTGTCCCCAAAAGCAAAGTATACAGCCCTTGCTGTCCCTGCCCTTAGACCAAAGGCTTACGTGCACAACTTTTTATAGCGGTTTTGTCTGTCATATCTTGCCAGTCACCATCACAGGCTGTACCCGCCACACTGGTGTAGTGGTTCTGGATGCTTGACTGCTGACGTGAAGGTAGCGGGACATAATAGACGGTTATAGTTTAGCGTTAGCGTGATAGCGTAGGTTAAAGGAATGGCATTACCGTGAAGCAAATGTTCGTTGTGGGCAGTGTATTATAGTTTAGCGGGATAGCGTTTACGTGCCCCAGCTGGGATGGTGGCGCCACCTATTAGATGGTTAATAAGTTAAACAGTGAAAATCGCAAGAAAACGAGAATGTTTGCCTATCCCATTACGCGAAGCATTGTTAGAAGTTTATGTTAGTGATGATAAAAGTAAATAAATATGAACCATGCACCAAACGTGAAAACATCTACGTTGCCGATTTGGTTACATCGATCTTGTAGTTAGGCCTAGGCGCGTTTGAAATGAGAAGCTATCTCAAAAACTACGCCAACCTATCCGTAATACTCGGTCATCGAAGCTAACTGAAGGCAAGTGAAGCCACTTTGAACAGTCGTTTGCTGCGGAGAAGGTGAATCTTTCAACAACTACGCCAAAATCACTTCGAAGCGGGTGTCCGTGAGCGTCACCATGTTTATGCACACCTACGCTACCACGGTAACGTGAAATCTAAAAAATACCGCGCGTATGGGAAGCTGTACGGGCGACGTACGTATCTGCGCATGCGCACTTCGATTCCGGTATCACGGTACACCCGGTAACTTGGTAAGCCCGGTATACTATAACTCTCTAATCCTGGTTGTGGCGGCCACATTTTCGATGGAGCCGAAAATGCTTGATGTCTGTGTACTTAAGTGCATGTTAAGAAACCCCTGGTAGTCGAAATTTCCAGAGCCTTTCACCGCGGCATCCCTCATAATCGTATCCTGGTTTTGGGATCTTAAACCCCAGAAGTTCTTATCACGGATAGTGTGTGCCTAAATGTGAGCCGATATGGGGACATTTTGTGTAATGTCATCTTCCTGAATGCTGGCCTACAACTTCATGTACAGTCGCAGCCACGTCGGTGTAGAGCACGCAAGTAGCCGGTTTTCGCTCCGCGGGGCGAAACCTCGAGGCAGTTTGGGGCTCTAATCTGGTCAGCCTGACAGCTAGGTCGCACATGCTTCTGATACAGCACTTCAAAGCCCGAAACTGCCTCGAGGTTTGGCCCCGCTCCGCGAAAATCGGCTCCTCGTGTGCTCTACACAGACGTGGCCATGGCTGTACAGTTGAACCCCTTAATAAAAGACGTGCTCTGGGGAACAATCTTTGTCTTTTATATAAGGTGTCTTATGAGCAGGGTACCGCATTAGTGTTTCCTTATCAACACATATTTCAATGTTGGCACATTGCTGTCTCTTATGCACACTGCTATATCAATGTAGGCACACAAGCGTCTCTTATGAAAGGGTTTGACTGGACTAACTTTTTTATAGGGGTGTCTTTAATGCACAACCTTTGCCTGACAGTCAAGGGGCAGTGCTTGTAGTAAACTGCAGGCAGCACCTCATGGGTACAGATCATGGGGCAGTTCCCTGCATATTCTCGAGTTTTGGGTCTTGCACATCTACATTATGGCATGCCGATTGTTGGGTGTACAAAACAGTGAAAAAAAATGCACGTAAGATTTGCAAGCAGCAATAGGGCTGCTCCTTGCAGGAGTCTTGATTTGAAGAAATTTGCAAAATGTCCGTTGTTTGGGGTGTGCACCAGCACCTCGCCACACTATATGGGCATGTCCACTTAGTGAGATGGTGAAAAGCAAAATACAATTATTTAAGAAAAAGAAAGGAGCGCTGTGATGTTATTGTAAAAAGGGGGTAGATTATTTTTTTTTTTCATTTCTCCTCGGCCACTATCTGTTCATCTCTTCTGGATTTCAGCGCCTTTTCTGAGTCGCCACCGGGCAAATGTTGAGGGTGGAGGTCGCAGGGCTGCGGCCCGTAACCGTTTCTTGCACGGACATTCAGGTGTGAAAAAGCGGCCAAGAGGCTGCTCCCTTTTTCTGTTATCTTCGTCACACCTGCTGCCCCATTACGTTTGTTTTAAGCTCTCCCTGCTTCATTACACTGCAAAGCAATGCGTGCTCCCTTACCTGGCTGCTGCTGCTTCTCTTGTCAGCACTGCCCTTGTGTGGTTTAGTCTGCCATGCTGGCTGGCTGTTTTCCTGGGTTGGTTGGCTGTTTGCAAATTCCTTCCCACTCCCTTAGTCAGCCCTGTCATTTGCACCCCTGGCAGTTCCTTTTTTGTTTGTTTGTTTGTTTGTCTGGCTTTTTTTTCCTGCATAGCTGTAGAATTGAGAAAGGGGTGGGTGATGTTGTGTAAGTGGCTGACGTAACCTATGCGAACTGGTCATTGGAACTGTGTGTTACAGGTGTCTGCAGGACAAAACATTTGGTGCGTAATGTCGTGTGGAGTGTCAGTGGTCCTCAATGGTTGACAATCTGTCGTTGGTAAAGGATATGCTTTCTTTGCTCATGCTTCCCATGACTGTTGGCCAATGATGCCTACCAATGAAGGGCATCAGGACATTGCTTCGCCCTGGTTTAGCCAGCTGCATCAGAGCCTGTGTGCTCAGTTCTGAAACACTGGCCATTAGCTCGTCTTTGCCGTTTAGAAAGAAAAGCAGTTTGGCATGCAATATTTTGTTACTGTTGCTGGCTAATATATATTCTTTCTGCTTGTGGCAGTTTTCTTAACGTCTGAGTGTATCTCACTGTTAATATTAGAATGTAAGAATGTAACTTTACATTTTAACAACAACTGAAAATGTGTTGATATTGCTTGTAGTTTATTGTAGCAGTGGTGCCTTCATTATTAGTTCACTTACTATATATTGACTTAGAATTTCCCTCTTCATAGCGACTGGCTTCTTGTCTAGGTACAAGTTTGCTTGGTGATTGTCCACGCTAATGTGCATCTCATGTGTTTCATTTCATTTGTGGCTTGCTTCCCTCTGCTGTATGTCCTCAGTCCAAAGTTCCACTAACATGTGCTTACCTAACTTTTGGAAACTCATTTTCTAGTGTTAAGGCCACAGGCATGTTTTTTTTTTAAAGCAGGTTTCTATTGTGGGTGATTTAGAAATGGCAAGCTTCACACTTTTTTATAGAGCTACACGTTTAAGCCTGTATCAGTTGTGTTATTAATTGTCTAGCAGTTCATTCTTTTAGATGATTGTGATGAACTGATGCAGCATCACCTCATTATGAGCCGCTAAACGTTCTGCTCGATTAAGTCAAACTAACCTCGAGAAGCCTTTCTAATTTTTGTACAAGCTTTTTAATACCACGTTCATTTGTGGCAAAGGGCTTTCTCATTCGTCAATGCTTTCTTTTTCTTGCATTGCTAGTACTTTCTTCTTTCCCACATTTACGAACATTAGCTTCTGTGTTGTACATTACGGCCATTATGCCCTTGAAATTACGGCCAGTGGTTAATGTTTTTTGAGTACGTGGCTGTACATGGTCATCAAACTGTTAGCAATTTTTCTGTTCCTTGTATTTGCCATTACAGCTGCAGCGGTTAACAGGAGAGATGACTTCTTCCCGATGACTGGCTTCCCTATTCCAAACCTTGGCTTTCCTGACATCTTTGGCGGATTTGATGGGTAGGTAGCTCCACTTGTTGGCCGGCCAAATTGTGGCTGCAATGTGTAACTCACCCACGTACAACCATTTCCTTCGGCATAACACTGGCTACCCTGTGCTCACATTAGACTTCCAATACTGCTATGAAGGATAGGCATGACAGCGATTGCAGAGTGTATGCGAAATATTGCAGGATCTGCACACTCTGCTAACAAAAATAGATTGACAGTCTTTAGACTGTCTAAACCAATTTTAGAATTTATAGACCGACTTAATCTATTTTTGTAAAAAGTGGGTCTTGTAGTTGGCCGTGGTGTCCCGATAAATACCCAGCGTGTTCAGCGCATGTGCTGTTGTGGCTTTGCGATTGCAAGGGCAGTTCACCACAACTACTTGGACTAAATATTGTGGCATGCTTACACGCTCGCTTCACAAGGATGCTGTTGACCACAATGTAAAGATTGTGTTGATGGGAAGCTTTATCTGCAGGAGGCTGAAACTTTGGGCGAGTCTTGCATCATCACAGATTCCATCAGAGCGAAGTACATCAAGGAAAGGAAAACAACTCAAGAATTGCAATGTGTGTTGTAGTTAGGCTTGTGCAAATATTGTACCAATATTAGTGTTGAAAGTTCATTTCAAAACGAATACCCCCCTCCCCCCCTTTTCGTAAATCTGATTTCACTGCAGAAAAGAAAAGCAGTGCTGTACAATGAACACATATAACCAGGGAAAATCTGTACTGTGATGAAGCCCCATTTAAACATTTAATGAATGCAATACCTTCACATCGATTCCTATTTTCTATTTTTCTTTTTTTAAAGCTCGTGATACTGGCTTATGTCTGGGAAGGGTTAAAACTTGACATATTTTACAGGTTGTCACTTGCATTCTACGGAAAGTGAAATCCTGGTACCATTCAATGTTGCTTCCATTCCTTTAAATGACATTCGCACATGCCTCATTTCAACTTTAAAAAAAAATATATTGTGTTTATTTGGATCATAAAAAGTATGCTCATTTTAGTTTGTAATTTGTGATATATACAATCCAAATTTAATTCAAAATTATTCAACCAAATCACTGTTCAGTTTAAATCTAAAGTTTAGTATTTGCACTAGCCTAGTTGCAGTATCTTGGTTTATTGGAGCAGCAATCCTGCATAGTCATCCAGAGTGACTGTAGTGCCCACATTGATGGACCAGTGGCTGGGGTATTCGGCTCCTCACCTGAAGGTCGCTGATTTGATCCTGGCCACGACAGTCTCATTTCAATGGAGGTGAAATGGTAGAGGCCTATGTACTGGGGTGTGTCAGTGCGCGTTAGAGAACCCCTGGTGGTCGATATTTCCCGAGCCCTCCACTACAGCGTCCCTCATAATCATAATGCGTATTTAGGACGTAAAAAAAGCCCCCCTCTATATTATAACTCCACTAATGCGAGAGTACGTGGCCGCATGGTTGCATCGGATTGTAACACCGTCATTGTCTGGCATCGCTCCTTAGCTTGCCAAGCATGATACCTTTAGCCTGCTCAGCTTTGTATAACTGACACAGTTCTGTGCTGTTGGACAGGTGAAGCAAACCTACTGTGCCTAATCGTTACAATAGGGGCGAAATGCAGATGTGTTATAGGCGCAGCCATGAAGCGGCCAGTGTCGCATTTATTGTATTGCATGTTATATTCGGTTTTGCCTGGTGAAATGTCACTTGTATGCACTGTTAAAAACCCCAATAAATGAAATCATATCAAGATTTGTTATATAATGTGATGTGGCTTTCCAATCATAGCTCTAGCGAAAACTGTGTAGCGTTATGAAATGGAGAATCTAACGAAATCTCACTTCGTTGGAATGCAATGGCATGGTAGAAATATAAAAGAAAAATGTTGACCAAAAAGATGTCAAGAAATGTAAGCTCCGGCTTCCACACAGAAGCCTTGTGGAAGCTGAATCGTGTTATGGTTTGAACAGCACCATTTTGGTAGGCGTTTTTTGTCATGTAGTATTGTTCCTCCCAGATTAGGGTAGTAACATTGTGCCTTAGTTCGGTGTAATATCTGTGATCACTGCATTCATGTGCTTAGTCTTCAAGTGAAAGGTTGTTAAACATCAGCTAAGATAAATTGATCGTCTGCAGACAGCTTTACGTATGAAAACATTGCTGGAGGGCTTTGAAAGATACTGTCAAGCAAACAAAACAAAATGCACTGTCATGCTTTGCAACCTGTTATTGTGAAAGGTCAAACTGCAACCCTTACACTCGTGGTGTGGCTGCCACAAAAGCTCTTCTGAATTTTCGATTACAGAGGCCTCTTGACCACTCTCTATGGCTTCGTCGAGGCACCTTGGTAGTGGCTGCGAAAACAAAGTTGAGAGAACGGAATGGAAGGCATCGTCGTGCTACCACTTTTTCTTGAATAAAACTTAGCAGTGCTCTTCAAGTCATTGTACGACTGACTGCACGCTGTGCCTTTCGGCTACAAAGGCTGGCTGACCAGTGACAAAGACTTCGGCACAGTGCATATAGTGGAACCTCGATCATATGTTCCCCAACTATGTGATGGCCTGCGTTTTACAATGAATTGACTTGGTCCTGGCATGGCCCTTGTAGAAATAATATACACACATCTTGTGCAGGGCAATTTTAGGGGCATGTCGCCTGCAGAAGTGAAAGCAATGCTGTCACATTGTAGGTGACACATTGCGCCCCACCCCCACAACCTTACTACAGAGACGCTTTCACTGCTCGGGCACAAATGCATACGGTACACCAAGCATTCCGGATGCGATGTGAGCTTTGTAGGTGATGCAATACGCAGAACTTTCTCTCGTTGACCGGTGGTCATGCTGCAGCAGATGCCATTTACTAAAGTGGAGACAGGTTGTCGGTGGATGTATGATTGTGCACACTTGAGTTAACGAAAGCTGAATGAGTTATCTGTTCTGCTACAAAGTTTGTCATCATGGTTTTGAAGTGTCTCGCGATATAGCCATGCTATGACACACTCGTAAAACATAGCCGAATTTTTTCTGCTATTCTGTGTTTCGCCTAAGCCCTCGGGATGAGCAGACATGCTATTCCACTCTATTCTGCTGCTGCCACGCTTTTTTGTTTTCTTGTCCCTGAGATGCAGACAATCCTGGAAAAATGTGGGGCTATTTTTACCGTTTAAACATAGGACCCTTAACTTGATCAAATTCATTATACAATGAGGTTTTCTGCTGTGGAGTGTCTTAACTATATTGATGTGTGATTGTATGTGTGCATGCATTGTGGAAAACGCTTTACTAGTTCAAATGCTGTTTGTTCTGTGTGCTGTAGTTGTAGGCCACACGACAATCTGTGCAAGGAACCAAGGGTAAATGGCAGAGAAAGTTGCAAATATGCGGTGGGTCAGGTTAGCCACCAGAGCCTGTCCATACATATCCATCACATTGACTGCCAAATACAGTGTCACTTAGCTACTATGCAAGATGCTAGTTTCCTGTATTGATGTGAATTAGAGTTGATCAGCCTCAAACTAACTTTTGTGGTACGCTGCTGTGCACAATCTTGCAGAAGGCACTCATTTATGCTAGAAAAGCTCGTCGAAATCTGCCTGTATCGCGATTTAAGGCGCTCTTGCGACATCAGTGGCATGTTCCAGTGAATGCAAGCTGCTTCCTGTTTTTTAATGTCACACTTGGTCTCTATGTAGAGTTCTGGTACTTTTGCTAAATGACATCAATATGGTTCTTGCCAGAGTTAACATATCGTCACGTTCGTGCAGCTGTTATAACTGAGCTGCCTCTTGCAACGCTTGCACACTTATTCAGTGGCTGCATGATTGCTGAAAAATTAAGGACTTGAGTCCATAGCTTCATACTTATTCAGTGGCTGCATGATTGCTGAAAAATTAAGGACTTGAGTCCATAGCTTCATACATTAAGCATAGTACGCTTTTTTCTTCCTTTGCATTTTCTGTTGCATGAAACAATGATAACATTGCTTTTGACAGGTCCACTAAATAGTTCTAGTAGATAGAACTTGCATTGCACGTCTGAATTTGTACTAACCTGTTTAACTCGTACCGCGTTGTCTTGTCAAGCTTATGTCGAACCTGCACGTTCTAAATCTTTTCTTTGCTTTGTAGGTTCACGTCGGTAACAACATCCACATTCAGCACTGACATGGGAGCAATGCGGCCAGGTGTGCGAAAGACGACGACGTCTACACGGTTCGTCAACGGCAAAAAGATAGAGACCAGGAAGTAAGTTGTTCTCCAACACTTCTTGGCGTTCTCTACAAATCAGAGTATCCTCGGTAACTGTTCTATGGGAGTGACATGTCATTTCATTAGCAAATCACAGTTGCTTGTAGGAACTTTAAACTTGCTATTTCACTCTGAGCATGCATTGGCAAACTGATACCTTCATATTAATGAGACGTGTGGAGCAACTTAGCCATTTCGCCTTTGCTGGGTTCTGTAGTTGTACATTGTGCGCATAGTAGTATTTGTTGCTTCATGAAAAGACGGTACTGTAGGGACTTTTTGACAAATTCGCTGGGTCCCACAAGTGTGTTTTTGTGATCAGTACATGTTTTTTGCTCAATAAACTGTGAAGCATAAAAATTATAATTTGCAGTTATGCATGCTGCTTTGTTGCTTTGTTGATAGCTATTTAAGTTCAATAAAAAAAGGTGCAGATTTTTTCACGCACGGCTATTAATCCTTTGTGCAGCAATGGGACAGATACGTTCTACTTTATCATCTGGAGACGACAGTTCCTCCATCACTCATCATACTTGGCACAGTGCTAAGTCGCTCATATACCCATGTCTTGCATAAGTCTTTGCAGTCTCGAAGAAAAATTTTAACTCATTTGAAGGGTGGAAGTAGTGTAACACTGACATTGAAGTTTGGTTAAATTTTTATGACAGCTCTTGATTTTTTTCTCTGCAGATAGAACCTATCAATCAGAATGCAGAATAATTTCTTTCTTTTCTGGTTTTCCCGAGAGGTCATTTGAGAGGACATGCAGTCATCATGTATTTGTGTAAGTTTGCATAATAACATAACCGATGAAGGTATCCGAGCGATCTCCTGCGAAATTGTCCCTCTCGTCCCTCAGTGCAATAGCGGATTTAGTGCGTGGAAATATTTTCTTTATATCGTGTACCTTTTGAAAAGTAGTCACATATTCATTCTTTATATCATACACCTGTTGAAAACTAGACACATATTCAGGGACAACAGCTCTGCTAGAGACAGTTGTGACAGCAAAGGTGAGGGCAGCCAGATAAGCTAGAAAAGAATGGGGGGTGCTAAAATGTGGTCCGCACAACTTTGCTCTTCACAGCTTAAGGGGGGAGGCTACCATCGGATACCAACTTTTTTGTTTATTGAGATATCCTAATGAAATTTTCAGGATAGACTTATAGCAAAAGCATTAGAAGAACTACAAAATTTCATCAAGTTATGTTCACTGGTTTTCTAGTTACAGCAGAATATCAGGGTAGTGCACATGGTTCTCTTATTCCAGGCCTGGAGAACTTTCAAAAGGTGCTGGAACTGTGAAATTAACTATGATGATTCCCAGATTGATACTCCAGGGGGTAACAGAGCCCTTTTTTTGAATTTCCTTGCTGAAAAGTTTTAGCAGACCATCAAACTTTGTGTTCGTGATTAGGATATTATCAATCAAATTTTGATTAAATATAATAAATAACACACACAATATATTGAAGAAATGAGCTTGTCACCCCCTCAGAAATGTATTCATGTACATAATAAAAAAAGACTTATGGAAATCCAATGAGTGGTTCCAGAGATATGGCTGGAATAAGCAGCCTCACTAGCCAAAAAAGTCATTTTGAGAAAACGACGTTTGAAAGTTTTGAGCACATAGGCAGTTCTAAAATGAACCTGCAGCGTAACTGGCGTTGTTGATCCGCCGCCTCTTTCTCCTCGCACGTCAGGAAACTTGTTCGCAAATGCACAGTTGACGACGCGATCGCACTCGAGGCCGATGAAAGAGAAGATGCGGAAGCCACTGTCGATGAGCACGAGACACCAGGCGCACTTGTAACGACAAATTCTTGCACCGGTGGAGCAGGAGTCCCGTTGCTAGGCGCGTCGATGCGACCACTCTCTTGCGTAGATGAAGCAGAAGCTGCCCCACAGGTACCGTCGGCGCGATCACCGTCGGCGCACGTGCGAGCGGAGAGCCTCGCCGCGCGGACAAGCTTCATAGCTCGCTTCCTTGCACCGAACGATTGTAGCGTCTTCTTTTTCGTTGGGCGCATCGTGAGCGAACACAACAACGGTCTCGTATAGACGGTTGAAAATCGTCTCGTATAGACGGTTGAAAATCGTCTCGTAAAGACGGTTGAAAATCGTTTCGAAGACAGTTGAAGCGTGGAGAGTATGCGAACGGCTGCAACGATACAGGGAAGCGAGCGGAACATAAAGACGCCGGACGGAGGAGCAGCAGACGAGCGGCCGCATCGGCCGCATTATGCGCAAGAGTGCTACGTCATCGTGCGCAGCAGCCAATGGCAGTCGCGGGCTCCCCCGCGTCCTTGGGGAGCGCACGCTTCTTCCAATCCCAGCTGCGCGCCTCAGCCGCGGGAAACTTGAAAGCTCTCGCGAGCCCTCCAATCATGAGCGGCTTGCTCCTCTCCTGCGCTGCCGCCGGCGACGCAGGTGGCGGGGAAAGAAAGAGCAAGAATTCACAAACAACACAACACCAAAATGGCGGCGCTCCGTCAAGCGGTCGAGAAACTGCGATCACGCCAAGTTGGGGTATTTTGAGCGCTCGCGCGCCGCTCGAGGGCCGCCGCGGCATGTTCTAAACTTTATTTCAAATGGTTTCGCGACGAATTAGACGTTGATATTTACAGAAAAGGTAGTTTATGACACATACTGCCCGAATATGTGGTTTGCCAAAAATCGACTTTTTCGCGATTTTTCGGTTTTCAAAGGCCGCGTCCCCCCTTAAGAATGATACTCTGCTCCACTTTCTTTGGCCATTTCATCCCAAATACCCATATAAGGGGAGATGCTACTCGAAAAACGATTTTCTTTAATAAGAGTCTGAATTTAACACAAATTGGCATGCTAATAGAGTTTTTTCTCCTTTTCAAATATGTCATTTATTTTCATGTAGATTGCTTGGTTTTCTTTCTGCAGGTCAGATACTGCAAAATTATGGCCATTGTTATGCAACAATTCTGACCTATAAAAATTTGAGATAAAGCATGCAGATATAGCTGACTATGATTCTTTGGAACTGTAGAGTGCAAAAAACTATATAAATTTTGTGTGTAAAAAGGTGAAATACAATAATAAAATAGAAAAATTTACTATGGCTCTAGTTGCTAAGGGCTTTCAATGTTATGTAATTTTTGAAAAACATAATCAAGCAGCACTGACAATCTGAATAAATACTTGCACTCTATTGGCCTTCATTATGCTATGTGCGAAATTTCATAGAGGTATGACAATTCTAAGTATACGAACTAGCGTGTATAAGAAGCACAGATCACACAAAACTGCAAAAGGAGAAAAACGCATTTGAAAGTTTGAAACCTTTTTTTTTTATCACAGAGTTGTTAGAAATGCATAATCTTTGGCCATAATGTTCAACAGAACTTTGAAAAGCACTGCAAGTTACTAGAACTGTCCTGCAGTATAGGTTGTGCCCTCACGGTCCTTGCGAGCTCTCTCTTCTAGCCGTGCCTTTTTCACTCCACGACGACGGTGGGCCCTTGCTTCTGTGGTCAGACGCTCGGACATTCTCTTGATGCGCCTCGCATCGCGGGAATCAGTGAAAGTAACTAGATCTCTAGATGGCAGTATGTTGAGCTCTTCCAGGATGTGCTCGAAATTAGCATGACCCTTGTTGAACCACAGGATTGCCATAGCTGCGGCAGTCTCGACAACCATTCGGGAGACACTTAGTCTTGGGGCAAAGTAGCCAAATTTTGCTGTTCAGGGATTCCGATGCGTTCTGGGTTTTTCCTTTGATGCATCAAGCAAGGAGCTTCTCATCCGTTAGCCGCTTATAAATGTGCAAAACAGCCAATCCCTGTGCTTTTGTCAGGAGAGGTGTGTGGCGTGGTGCAGGTTCATCAAGTGCTTCAGCGCGTTGATGTTTGCACCACGACTCTGTTCCTGCAGGGCAAAACTTGTGGCTGCCAGCATGGTCAGTAGAGCATGAGTGGAAGTACGAAGCCCATACTGCAGTGTACATATCGCGTACACTCACCCTGTTGCTTGTTATGGCAATCTGATATTATGTTTGGAGCTTCTGAATGGCTGGCTCTTTCATTTTCTGCCCTCGTGGTAATGGCACATGCAGCTTCCATAGCGCCGTGCCAAGTCTCTTGGCCACATGATTAGTGCAGTCTTCTTTTTCTATATTGACAGCACCATAGACTTTTGACTCTGCAACTGCACTATATGCTTTGCTGTCACCGTCACTCAAGAATGTCATGAAATGCAGTGAGGTGTCATAAGTCAATGTTCTCTGCCAAATGCGCATTGCAGCCTCCGTTTCCATGGCATGGGAGGAACAGTCTGCATTTTTTTCACAGACTTGGCCATGGAATGCCTGCCACGCTTCCTCGTCTGGGCCCATATCCTTGTGCCTACTGCATGTCAGGCAGTAATTTGATATGACCTCGAAGTATAAGCAGAGGCCAGTATCTAAGGAGATAACTGCGCCAATCCCGTTGTGGCCTTTGTGGCCCCTCTTCTGCCAAGTGCCGTCGAACATAACAGCCACATCAGTTTCGCCTGCTACTTGTTCCGTCAACTCTCTGGATCGGCGCAAGTTTTCACTCACAGCTGCCATGGCAGGGGTGCGCCTTCTTTGCTATCGAAAAAAATTCTCGGTGGTGCATTCGCTTTGGGAGTCCAATAATGGAGCAAAATCTCGACAATTGCTCATGCCCAATGCCGACAGCGCGTGCAGCCACCACCGCCTTCACATTTACAGCGAAACTATCTCGGGAGCTCCCACTGTCGTACCGTTGGCTCACTCGGCTGCTGCCGTATGCCGTAACACGCAGTGACGTATAGGAGCACGAAAGAACAGTGGCTGAACATTCGCTGTTTTCGCAATGAAGTTCGAGGAGTGACGAAAGTCCCTTGCGCTTTTCTGCCGGCTCCCGAACGGCAAGTTTTTGAATACCGCAAGCAGGGCATGCCGCACCTGCCACAAGTGCCGTCAGCAAGAGGGTGTCGCACAAAACTGGCGTTGCACAAACCTCATCGCGCTGTCTTTCGTCTTTTTCGAAGAAGCCGAGCTTCTTTTCCAAAGCACTGACGAAAGAAAGCGCAGCGTCAATCCCTTCATCGCAGCCACTGTCGCTCGCGCACTCGTCGATGCCGCCGTCAGGCCTAGCACACGTAGGCGTGTTCACGTTCGTCGCCGTCGTTCGGGGCGCTTTACGCCGCCTTCCCTTGAACTTGTGCTTCGTTCGAAACTTCTGCGGTCTCACGTTGCACTTTTTCGGGCTTGTCATCGCGGAAGTATGCGTAGACGCGCAGAAAAGCAGACGGACCAAATGCCGATGGCCGCCACCAACACAGCTGACAATGACTCGGTAGCCAATGGCGATGCGGCTTAGGGTGCCGCGCGTTTCAAACCGCTCAAACCACGTGATAAAAAGGCCTCGTTTTTTATTATTTTTTTTTTTTGCCCACGTACGAAACTGGCGGTCGTCGGAGCTGTAAGAAGGCCGGACGCAACTTTCCCAACCGATCGCGATGGTGGACGGCACTGCGACGGGAAGCAGCGCGCAGTCAAAGATGGCCAATATCGGCGCAAATCCACGAAATTTTGAGCCACCGCGATGCCTTCATACACATTTTTTTGCATTTTGCGGTTCGAATTTAGTTTTGAAATTTTCACAGATGAAAGAAGGTTTGAAGATTACAATGCAATAAAAAACAGAAATACGAGAAATTTAGCTAAAAACGCGATTTTTCGACTCGCATCTCCCCTTCAGCAATCGCGGCATGGTGCCTTCATCAGACTGTGAGACAGTGTTTTTCATCTTTTTTAAAACACTCTCACGAGTGAGGGAGACGTATATGTCCCACGTTCTTTTTTCCTTTTCATTCAGCAAACTACTGGTTTCATTTTTATAGAACTTGTTCATAATATTTCTTTGTAGTTTATATGAATATACCACAGCCGTGTCTTATCACTATGTCAAAAGTATAGGTGAACCTACAAAGGATTAAAAAGTCGATGCTTTTATCTGTTCTTTCATCTGCTGAAATTTCCTTTGCTATCAAGTACTTAAAAATTACATCGTTCACAGGGTCTTGGAAAATGGTGTGGAGACGGTCACTGTGCACGAGGACGGCGTCCTAACAAAAAAGACTGTCAATGGCCAAGTTCAAGCACTGGGATATAACAAGCACTAGTGAAAAGGACATTTCCAGCTCCCACATTGGCCCTGTGTGCTAGGCCTTTTTGATGGAACCTATGTAGGGTTTCTGCCGGAGTGCTGTGCACATAAAAGTTTTGAATGACTAGAAAGCTCCAAGGGGTAGCAGTGGCCAGCTGTTGGAAGACAACTCCTGAAGCGTGAAAGATGTGTTGAACTGTGTGCGGTTGTGTGTGCGTGAATGCTGTCAGATCTTCTCCTGTCGTCTTCATTTGTCTCTTCCCCCCGTACCTTTCCTTTTTTTTTTTCTACACATATTTGGCACTTCTTTCTGCTATTATACGTATAAAAGCAGTGAAAATTCTTTGATTGTGAACATTGTGGCTCATTTCATGCAGTTGATTTTGGGGACCAACATCTACTTTTTCCTTTCGTGTAGCTGATATCAGAAATATAGGTCACTGAAAGGAAGGCGCCAACGGAAGGAATGTCCTGTCTGTCACAGAACTAGCAAAGAATGCTCATAGTATTGTTAAGATGCATGATTGACAAAAAAAGCTTCAAGTGTACATGCCTTGTTTCCTTCAGGATGCACTGTGCTTGTAATGAGACATTTTGTGCTCCTTGCCCTCATTGAAATTTGATGTTGCTGAATGTAGTGCTCCTGTTGTCTTTATGAGGTTCTAAATGTTTAGGGAAGGCATCTGCAGTGATCTCAAGAACAAAAGTCTTGGAGGTTAGTTATCATGGTGCATATGGTTCGTTATGTAATTAGCGACAAAACAGGTTGCACTTGCGACGTTGCAGTTGTGCCTGTCGCGTCTCCACAGGGCCACTGCAGGTATATCTGGCTTCTAGTCCTTGATATTCTCCTTTCAAGCTCCCTTGGCGCACTAGAGTTTCACACATGGCTTTAGTCTTTGGAATGGTCAACATGTGGATGATTGATTTTTTTCTTTACGTGGTATGTAACCAATAAACTCAACACTTACCACAGCATGTGTCACCTAACGTTTGTGTACTGTACATCTGGAAAGATATCGTTGCTCTGCACTCTGTAGTTGTAGAATCGGGACCACCTTTGTTGAAATTTTTCTATGCATAGATGAGTGGTCTCTGTTACTGTAGGTACTCGATGTATGGGCAGGGCACATTTAATTTACTGGCGTCTTTTGTTTACATCTGTTCTCACTTATGTTAATGCTGTCTCTACTGGTGTGATGAGAGTTATGTGTGCTGTACAGTCTTCTTTTTTCATATATTATTGGTTATAAGCATCACTGATATGTAAAAACATTCCATGCTTACTTGTGAAAGACCCCCGGAGGGGCGATGCAGGAACACTCTGCTGTGTGTCTTCGTTGAGTCTGTAAGGCATTTCTCCTGCAAACCCAGTTTTATTTAAAACTAAAAGATAAGGGGTTGCATACTTGTTCAGGAGTCAGTGTTGTCTGTAAATACTTGTAACTTGTGTGAAACTAGCTACTTTTAAATTATAATGCAGTTCCATTGTTGCACACACCACTGAATGTGTTTAGTCTCGGTCAGGTTGCAGGTGTGTTCAGTATGTAAATAAAACTAATATGCCATCCTTGCTGTGGCTTCATCATTTAAGTGGTCTTACCCATGATAAACAGATTTCTTTTGGGATTGTGCTCAAGTTCACACGTACCAGGTAGGTAGCCTCTGCTGCGAGTCTCTATTTAGTCATGTAAGATGGCAGAAATTTTCACATTCAGGCACAATTGACCAGATTTGCGAGCATGACATAATGGGAACTTTTTAAGGCCCTGAAAGGCTTGCGACCTAGGAACAATTGACACGAGTCCATGGCATCACCATGGCGGAACATGTAAACAGTCTGTTGTATGAAAAAAACAAACTGAATTGCAATTACAGTTGAATTCGATTCTTTAACAGTTCAAACTTAGTTGTCACCAAGCACTAAAGGGGCAGTAGATTACCACGAGAAGAGGCTTTGTAGGCATGAAACTGCGCCAAATATGTTCGACAGATTGACTTCATGTGGACCAGTCAGCGAGGCCACCTTTTCTTAAGAGTCAAACATTGCAAACTGGATCGATGTCTCGGTGTAAATTAATTAGTTTTCGGGTATATTGAAGACTCGCCAGGCACGTCGAAATCGATGACGCCCGAAGGTGACACATGCTGCGCACGGCACTTCATTCCGTTGGTCCACATCCATCTCGGCATCACCCGAGGCATTCGGCGGTGGCTACAAAACCAGGCCGCAAGTAACATCGCCCCCGCTATCTCGGACAAGCGTAGCGTCCTAATGCTCGCACGATGCTGTTGCTGGTCGAACAGTTTTCATGTTGGAATCTCCTTCTGCCGACATGGCATCCCATGCTTTTTACTGCAGTGCGAAAGCTGTTTTGAGATAGTTTTTGCCGCCGGTAGCCATAACCACTATCGCGCGAAAAGAAAAAATGGAACAAATCTCACATCCACAGAGTGCATTATGAGTGGGGCGAAGCGCCCGTCCGCGTGTCTGTCCGTCTATCAATCTAATGAAAACTCCTAGTACCGTTATCTCGCATTTCATCATATATTCATCATTACAGTCTCTGTATATGTTACCTTTAGGAAGCATATGCAGTGATTCACTCTAGCAGCGTCGGTGACGCTGTGCCCTCTGCCGATCTAAATGTTCTCCTCATGAATTGGCTTCACCGCAATATACGTTGAAAACTACTCGAAAACGTTGAAGGTCTTATCACCCATGATACAGCTCAACTTTTGTCTGACGTAACACATTGCAGCGGGAGGGGGGGGGGGTCAATCTGTGCTCTCTTCCCAGCAAAATATTCTCCTGATAAGTTGGCTTCGCCGCAATACACGTTGAAAACCACTCGAATAGGTTGAAGGCCGTATCACGCATGATAAGGCTCAACTTTTGTCTCGCGTCACACATTTCAGCCATGGTCAAAATTGGCCCTCTTGTGAGCTAAGTATCCCCCTGAAAGGTTGGCTTCACCGCAGCACACGTCAAAAAACCACTCGAAAAGTTGAAGACCTTATCACGCATGATATGGCTCAAATTTTCTCTGACGTCACACATTGCAGTAACGGTCAGTCTGGGCCCTCTTGTGAGCTAAGTATTCCCCTGATAGGTTGGCTTCACCGCAGCACACGTCGAAAACCACTCGAAAAAGTTGAAGGCCTTATCACGCATGATAAGGCTCAAATTTTGTCTGACGTCACACATTGCAGTAACGGCCAGTCTGGGCCCTCTTGTGAGCTATGTATTCCCCTGATAGGTTGGCTTCACCGCAGCACACGTCGAAAACCACTCGAAAAAGTGAAGGTCTTATCACCCATGATACAGCTCAACTTTTGTCTGACGTAACACATTGCAGCGGGAGGGGGGGGGGTCAATCTGTGCTCTCTTCCCAGCAAAATATTCTCCTGATAAGTTGGCTTCGCCGCAATACACGTTGAAAACCACTCGAATAGGTTGAAGGCCGTATCACGCATGATAAGGCTCAACTTTTGTCTCGCGTCACACATTTCAGCCATGGTCAAAATTGGCCCTCTTGTGAGCTAAGTATCCCCCTGAAAGGTTGGCTTCACCGCAGCACACGTCAAAAAACCACTCGAAAAAGTTGAAGACCTTATCACGCATGATATGGCTCAAATTTTCTCTGACGTCACACATTGCAGTAACGGTCAGTCTGGGCCCTCTTGTGAGCTAAGTATTCCCCTGATAGGTTGGCTTCACCGCAGCACACGTCGAAAACCACTCGAAAAAGTTGAAGGCCTTATCACGCATGATAAGGCTCAAATTTTGTCTGACGTCACACATTGCAGTAACGGCCAGTCTGGGCCCTCTTGTGAGCTATGTATTCCCCTGATAGGTTGGCTTCACCGCAGCACACGTCGAAAACCACTCGAAAAAGTTGAAGGCCTTATCACTCATGATACAGCTCAACTTTTGTCTGACGTAACACATTGCAGCGGGAGGGGGGGGGGGTCAATCTGTGCTCTCTTCCCAGCAAAATATTCTCCTGATAAGTTGGCTTCGCCGCAATACACGTTGAAAACCACTCGAATAAGTTGAAGGCCGTATCACGCATGATAAGGCTCAACTTTTGTCTCACGTCACACATTTCAGTCATGGTCAAAATGGGCCCTCTTGTGAGCTAAGTATCCCCCTGAAAGGTTGGCTTCACCGCAGCACACGTCGAAAACCACTCGAAAAAGTTGAAGGCCTTATCACGCATGATAAGGCTCAAATTTTGTCTGACGTCACACATTGCAGTAACGGTCAGTCTGGGCCCTCTTGTGAGCTCAGTATTCCCCTGATAGGTTGGCTTCACCGCAGCACACGTCGAAAACCACTCAAAAAAGTTGAAGACCTTATCACGCATGATAAGGCTCAAATTTTCTCTGACGTCACACATTGCAGTAACGGCCAGTCTGGGCCCTCTTGTGAGCTAAGTATTCCCCTGATAGGTTGGCTTCACCGCAGCACACGTCGAAAACCACTCGAAAAAGTTGAAGGCCTTATCACGCATGATAAAGCTCAAATTTTCTCTGACGTCACACATTGCAGTAACGGTCAGTCTGGGCCCTCTTGTGAGCTAAGTATTCCCCTGATAGGTTGGCTTCATCGCAGCACACGTCGAAAACCACTCGAAAAAGTTGAAGGCCTTATCACGCATGATAAGGCTCAAATTTTGTCTGACGTCACACATTGCAGTAACGGCCAGTCTGGGCCCTCTCGTGAGCTAAGTATTCCCCTTATAGGTTGGCTTCACCGCAGCACACGTCGAAAACCACTCGAAAAAGTTGAAGGCCTTATCACGCATGATAAGGCTCAAATTTTCTCTGACGTCACACATTGCAGTAACGGTCAGTCTGGGCCCTCTTGTGAGCTAAGTATTCCCCTGACAGGTTGGCTTCACCGCAGCACACGTCGAAAACCACTCGAAAAAGTTGAAGGCCTTATCACGCATGATAAGGCTCAAAATTTGTCTGACGTCACACATTGCAGTAACGGCCAGTCTGGGCCCTCTTGTGAGCTAAGTATTTCCCTGATAGGTTGGCTTCACCGCAGCACACGTCGAAAAACGCTCGAAAAGGTTGAAGGCCTTATCACGCATGATAAGGCTCAAATTTTGTCTGACGTCACACATTGCAGTAACGGTCAGTCTGGGCCCTCTTGTGAGCTAAGTATCCCCCTGATCGGTTGGCTTCACCGCAGCACACGTCGAAAACCACTCGAAAAGTTGAAGGCCTTATCACGCATGATAAGGCTCAAATTTTGTGTGACGTCACACATTGCAGTAACGGCCAGTCTGGGCCCTCTTGTGAGCTAAGTATTCCCCTTATAGGTTGGCTTCACCGCAGCACACGTCGAAAACCACTCGAAAAAGTTGAAGGCCTTATCACGCATGATAAGGCTCAAATTTTCTCTGACGCCGCACATTACAGTAACGGTCAGTCTGGGCCCTCTTGTGAGCTAAGTATTCCCCTGATAGGTTGGCTTCACCGCAGCACACGTCGAAAACCACTCGAAAAAGTTGAAGGCCTTATCACGCATGATAAGGCTCAAAATTTGTCTGACGTCACACATTGCAGTAACGGCCAGTCTGGGCCCTCTTTTGAGCTAAGTATTCCCCTGATAGGTTGGCTTCACCGCAGCACACGTCGAAAACCACTCGAAAAAGTTGAAGGCCTTATCACGCATGATAAGGCTCAAATTTTCTCTGACGTCACACCTTGCAGTAACGGTCAGTCTGGGCCCTCTTGTGAGCTATGTATTCCCCTGATAGGTTGGCTTCGCCGCAGCACACGTCGAAAACCACTCGAAAAAGTTGAAGGCCTTATCACGCATGATAAGGCTCACATTTTGTCTGACGTCACACATTGCAGTAACGGTCAGTCTGGGCCCTCTTGTGAGCTAAGTATTTCCCTGATAGGTTGGCTTCACCGCAGCACACGTCGAAAAACACTCGAAAAAGTTGAAGGCCTTATCACGCATGATAAGGCTCAAATTTTGTCTGACGTCACACATTGCAGTAACGGTCAGTCTGGGCCCTCTTGTGAGCTATGTATTCCCCTGATAGGTTGGCTTGACCGCAGCACACGTCGAAAACCACTCGAAAAAGTTGAAGGCCTTATCACGCATGATAAGGCTCAAATTTTCTCTGACGTCACACATTGCAGTAACGGTCAGCCTGGGCCCTCTTGTGAGCTATGTATTCCCCTGATAGGTTGGCTTCGCCGCAGCACACGTCGAAAACCACTCGAAAAAGTTGAAGGCCTTATCACGCATGATAAGGCTCAAATTTTGACTGACGTCACACATTGCAGTAACGGTCAGTCTGGGCCCTCTTGTGAGCTAAGTATTCCCCTGATAGGTTGGCTTCACCGCAGCACACGTCGAAAACCACTCGAAAAAAAAATTGCCCGCAGCTTCCCTCGGGGGAACACTGAGGAGGATGCGGACCATATAATTGGTTAACGGGGTGTTAAAGTGCGACTTACTTGGGTCGATGGCTAAATTGGTTAACGTGGTTGTGAAATGGGGTGTTAAATTGCGACTTTCTTGGGTCGATGGCTAAATTG